ATTTATTATTTAAAATATTTAAAATTATATGAAAATTTTTAAAATTATCTTATTTCATCATTAGTAATGCAATTTGATTATAGTAAAATAATTTTTTTTTTAAAATTGATTTTATTAAATAAATAGAGCTGCGACAGAATATTTAAATTTAACCCAAACTCATTAAAAATAGATTTGAATTATAAATTTTTATTTTCGAGATCAGAACAAGAAACAAAAACTGTTTGAAGATTCTGATTTTAAATTTAAGAAAGATAAAAAGAGGTTTAATAAGAGCCAATTGCCATGCACATCAAAGTTCATCTCTTATAAATTCAAAATTTCTCTCATTTTAATTGATATAAATACCACTGACCAAGGTAAAATTGGAAAAAATTAAAATAGAGATTTATATTCAAATGTCCAACAAGATATGAATTTTCTAAGTGAATTTTAGGTTAACATAGATAAGAGCAATAAAATTGTTGATTTGGATAAAAACAGAAATCAACCGTTTCAATTGGTGGTTCCAAGAAAAAGAAAGACCAAGAATCCACCTCAAAACGGACAAAAGTTTCAAGGTAAATGCCTCCAATCGTACACTTCACTATTTTTTGATGGGAGTTGTCTCCCGTGTGTATCTGTTGTTTGATTTCATAGTTTGACTAGATTTTATCTATGACTCTGGTCTTTTATAATTCATTTTTTATATATATTTTTTTATATATTTGTCTTATTTAAAAAGAAAAAAAGAAAAAGACTTCCCTCATTCATAGTGACATGAAATTTTAGCATTTAGACACAACTAAAAATCTTTATTTAAAAATAAAATTATTTAAAAATCAATATATACCAACCATAACACTAGTTTATTACACATCTCCAAAATCTTATCTAAAATCTTAGAAATGCTTCTAAAAATATATATAATTTTTACCAAAAAGTTTAAGACATTAAAATAATTTTAAAATCTCTTATTCATCTTAAAAATCCAACACAATTTAACCATTCAAAACTTATCTTAAAAATCCAACACAATTTAACCATTCAAACTTATCCACAACCAGATCTTTTACTTCTATATAAATTTTATTATATTAGTGTGGACTCAATTCATATTATGACATAAAAAAAATATACCTAATATATCACAAATTTATCACAAATAAAAATATAATTAAATTGTTGATTCTTTTTAGTCAATACTAACTACTCATAGTAGTTATCTTCAATTTTGACTAATATACTCACAACTAACCTTATAACAAAAGCAACCATATAAAAAATCTACTTTCTCCAACTAAAAAGCAGAATCTCTATAGTCAACAAAACACCACAAATAAGCACTTTAAACGGCTTACACACTTCTCTAACAGAATTTACATTCATACACGTTCTCTCTCCAATCTCTATATAATACACTTGAAGGTTTCACAAACTTCACACACAAATTTTATATCATAATATCACTGTCTCTATCACAGAACCACCACGTTCTTCATTTTCCTCTGTTTCTTAGGTTAGTTAGCTTCTAATTCTCAAAATTCAACTTTTCTGTTATTTGCATTAAATCTTTATTTTCAGATTATTGATTATTGATTCTATTTATCAACTGGGTTTATCAAAAAGTTTTCATTTTTCTCACGAAATTTTTATCAAACGCATTTCTCTGTTTTTTAACTCTGTTTTTTCACTGTCATGTGTTTCTAAAAACCCAATTCGATTTTTGTTGTTATAATTAGTTTTATGGATAACCCAATTGAATTTAGATGTTTTTCTCAAATGGGTTGTTTAAAATTTCATATTTTTTGATTTATTTATGCATGCAAGATTCTTAACAGGATTTTTACTCTGTTTCAGATTCCTCTGTTTTTAAAAAAATCAAATTCTTGATGGCCATAAAGACTATTGAATTGTTGAAAGGGTGTGCATCTCAAGAAGAATTAATGGAAGTGATTGCTACCGTGGCTTCAGATTTAGGAGATGTGATCGATGATGTGAACAACTTGGAAGTGATTCCTTTGAAAGGTGCAATGACTAATGAGGTTTTTCAGATAAATTGGCCTGCAACAAATGGTTCTGATCTTAGAAAGGTTTTGGTTCGATTGTATGGAGAAGGTGTTGATATTTTCTTCAATAGGGAAGAGGAAATTCAAACCTTTGAGTGTATCTCAAAGCATGGTCAGGGTCCTCGGCTTCTTGCTCGGTTTACAACTGGTCGTGTTGAAGAGTTTATTCATGCCAGAGTATGTGATTCTCTTTTACTTTTTCATATCTATAATTGGATAATAATCAATGTTAACTTGATTTTGTACATCATAGTGGCAAAAGTGCATGCCCGTCCCTAAAACCCCCGAAAAGAATAGGGGAGGGGCGAACGTAAGTGAGACCGCGGGCCTAAAACCTGGCCTGCCTAGAAAAAAATGAGGGCGGAACGGGTCCGCAGATACTGCCCAAGAAAATTATGTTAATACTGGGTGGAGCAAACATATTAAATGGTGTGGGACTAAAACCTTAGTCTGTCCCACAAAAAAATTCGGGCAAAACGAGTATGCTCGACGGGCTGAACTTAATCACAAGTCTCCCACACTTTTTTTCAGAAATGTCGATAGTACATAGCTCAGCTATGGTCTACAAATATGTCATTAAGTCGTCGTCTTAGAGTATGGAGGCCTATGTGAGCCCAAACATAACATACTATCCCCAAAATGAAGGCTGCAATGAATATTTGATTTTCATGTTTTAGCTTTTGAGATTCTATACCCAGCTTAAAAGTTTATTTACTTTAATTTTTAGTCAAAGAGTTTTTCTTTTGAACTAGTACTTCCTTTTTCCTTATTCTGTTCCCTTTAACTTTTGGAGCAATGGAGGGCCTCTTAAATTTTTAGGATTAATTATTTAAGAACCAACTTTAAGAAATTAAATGGAATGGAATGGAATCAGGTGCTCTCAGGTTACCATTCTTTTCCCTAGTTCCTTTCTTCAAGTTATTGATTCTATCAATAATAGTTAACAAACAAACATTATATTATATACCTTTCTTTGACTGTGACATGCATTATGGAACTAAAGTAGTTGCAGCATACTAGTTTTGTAATTTTGAAGTATGAAAATTATGCATAACTTGCTTCTTACTTCTCTTGTTTTTCGTTTTCTAGACTCTCTCGGCTCATGACCTCCGTGACCCCGAAATATCACCTCTGATAGCATCTAAGATGAGAGAATTCCATAAGCTTCATATGCCTGGTACAAAGAAGGCTCATATTTGGCAGAGAATGAGGAAGTGGCTTGTTGAAGCCAAACATTTATGCTCCGCAAAGGATGCAAAAAAGTTCGGATTAGAGAATCTAGATGACGAAATAAATATCCTAGAGAAGGACTTATGTGAAGGATATCAAGAGATTGGTTTTTGTCACAATGACTTACAATATGGTAACATTATGATCGACGAAAAAACTAAATCAATCACTCTAATTGTAAGCTAGTTGCTATGTATTCATTTTTTGCCTTTCCAAAACATTACAGTTACTTGCATTTCAGTACTCTAACTCTCTTCTTTCTATTTTGATTTTCTTTGTGATACAGGACTACGAATACGCGAGTTACAATCCTATTGCATACGACCTCGCAAATCATTTCAGTGAAATGGCGGCAGATTACCATACCGATACACCTCATGTTCTTGACTATAGTAAATATCCCGGTAAATTTATGCTCTTAATCTTACATTTCCACAATGATTATTGCGTGTTTCCGTTTTTCTTTTTTGTTTATATCACTCTACCATGCTGAGATACTAATTTGTATACGGTGAACCAGAACTCGAGGAGCGTCAAAGGTTTATTCGCGCCTATCTCAGTTCTGAAGGTAAGAAACCGAACAATGCTAAAGTGAACCAAGTTGTGACTGCTGTGGAAAAATACACTCTTGCAAACCATCTATTTTGGGGCTTATGGGGACTTATTTCGGTAAGCCTTTTTTCGTGTTACATGTACTTGTTATCTAAGCATATAACTATATATTATATGCTCATATCATATACAATTTTTACTTGTAATTGCAGAGTTATGTGAACAAAATTGAGTTTGATTACAAAGAATATGCAAGGCAAAGGTTTCAGCAATACTGGTTAAGGAAGCCAACTTTATTGGACACACCAACCATTGTTTCACAAAATGAAACTGTAAATGGTTCTCTACCACTAGCATCATGTGTGTGATTTCTTTTATGCTTACATTCCCATGTTTTAGTGAAGTTAATCTTAGTTTCCATGTATTGATTTCATAATAACTTCTAAAGCCGTGACATATATTCCGCAGCGGCATCTGTATCTGTAAATAAGATATTGTCACTAACAAAATGCAATTAGTTTTTGACAATTTTAACTTCAATTTGTTCATCAAACCCTCACTTTTGAGATTGATGAAATGAAATTGAGAATGAGTGTTTGTTTTCTTGTAATAGTTTTACTACTTTACTCACATTTAGATGAGTAATTTGGTTCAGGATAAATAAAGTTACTGAGTCAAGTCTTTATAAATGAAAATAATAGTAGTTAAAATTATATTTTATGTGCGTCTCAGATGCATTTTGTGACATTTATATTTACTTCAATAGCCTTGAACTATATGTATTTTGTGACATTTATATTTTATGTGCATTTTGTGACATCTATATGTATCTTGATATAACAAAACACATTATTCATTATGATGTGCATTAATCATAATACAAATCATTGTAAAAACTAGCCCTTAGAAAACCCGCATCAATCAAACAACCTTCTATGACACATGATATTAACAAACAAGACACACAAATACTCAAGAGCATCTGAATGAGATGATAAGGTATCCTGGCTTGAAGCATTAGTCTCTGCAGTTACACGCAAATGATATCTAGAAAAAACACATAAATTCACTCGGTCTATCATAAGGAGTGCCCACGTCTACTTTAATTTATACACCGAGCTTGAAACATGAGCAGTGGAGTGTGTTAAGCAGTGTTGCAGACAGGTCTATCTAGTGACTGAAGCTCCTAACTGGTAGCGGCTGCTGTTCGGCTTCATCTTCGTCACGCAGCTTGACAAGCGTATAAGCTCCAGAACCAGCAAGTGCACCAAGCGTCGGTGCCACGAAATATATCCAGATATTTTTGTAGTTTCCTGCTGCAATGGCTGGACCTAAGGTGCGAACTGGATTCATTGAACCGCTACTTGTTGGCCTATCATTTGTTATATCATACTTATAATCAAAATATTAAAACAAAGAATTCAAATCAATAATGTCATAGAAATGGTTTAGTTTCATACCCTGATATCAGAATGTTGACTATAACTGTAGCTCCAACAGCAATACCAGCCATTTCACCAACCTGCATTACAAATCAACTGATTTAATTTGATAGTCATGAACTGCAAACTAGAGAGTAAAAATTAGCGTGTGCACGAACATACTGCGCGAGTATCCGTAGCAACAGCAGTGGCGACAAACAAGAGAATAAAAGTGATAACAAACTCGGTTGCAAAAGCCTGTCCAACGCTAACGGTAGGGAGAGTAACACCACCAGAGAGGAAAGGACGATAAATACTTTTGAGAGCAAAAGCAGCGCAGATTGACGCAGATACTTGTGCTGCAATGTAGGCAGGAACATGTGCCCATGGAAAATGGCGAAATGCCGCGAACGCAATGGTGAGTGATGGATTGAGATGTGCGCCTGAGATATGACCAATTGAGAGAATAATTGCCATGACTGTTAAACCAGCACAAGCTGCATTTCCTATAAGTGTTTCTATGCCTTCGTATTTGTTGTTAACTATTGGTCCTGCTGTTGCTACATATATCAGTATGAATGTTCCTACAAACTCTGCTCCAACCTGTGAAATAAACTATATAAATTAGTATGAATTTTCTGGAAATATACAAATTAAAACTTCATCATTGACACATCTAAAGTTGGGTATTGAAGTGCATCATCTCTCCGATTGATCCTAGTTGATATCTCAGAGAATGTTAAGGATCTTCTAATAAAGACTAAGACTACTTGTAATGGGGTGTTAATAAATTTTTCAATAGTTGAATTGCTCCAATGGATTGTTGAATAAGGTGTTGAATGTGATATGAATTAATTTGTGTTGAAAATAAGTGGGAGCCACTTATAATACTTTGTAAAATATAATTGGTTGTTGTGATTTTTTATATTTTTATTTCACCTAAATTATTTGGAGTCAATTATTTTATAGAAAATCAATTTTTTATTTTCACCAAAATTCATCATTTTTTTTTGTCTATAAATAGAGTCTTGGTTCATTTGATTTGGATAAAGAAAAAAAATCTATTTTTTTCTCTAATTTTCTATTTAGCCTCCAATAAATAGTGAGTAAAAGTTGGATGGATGTTGAATTATTAGGTGGAAGAGAGAGAGAAGATGATGTGGAGTGTAAAAAATTGGAAAAATGAGTGTTGAATAATTTTGCCATTGTAGATAGTCTAACATGAGTGTTGCTTCCCCAATAATTTTGTTTGATAAGATGTTAATTTATATATATATATATCAAATAGTGAATTTTATTATACAAATTTAATAAAAATAGTGACTCACTTTTATGGGAAAAGTTGTTGGATTTCAAGTGTAAAAGTGTTAAAGTCTCATATTGATTAGAAATGGAGTAAATGTTGCGCTTTTAAGAGAGCTGACTCATACTCTCATTGCCTTGAGATTTTGGATGGATATGTATCGCTAATGTCTCTTGAAATCATGAACGAATGACATATTGATACTTTCGGGTCTCGTTCTCTAGACTTCTTCAACAAATGGTATCAGAGTCTTGGTTAACTGGGTGAGAGAGCGAATATGGATTTTAGTATAGATCAAGGCTAGTGATGTGGGTAACTCATTCTTGTGAGAGAGATTGTTGGGTGTTAAGTATTAATGCACATCGGCTAGAAATGAAAGAAATGTTGAATTTATAAAAGAGGTGGCTCGTATTCTATTGTCTTACTATTTTGATTTTGAGTGGATATGTGGTCGGTCCTCACTTTTCACACTTATATAATATATTTATATTTTAAATTGTGATATCAATTGAATTTGACCCATATAATATTTTAAATTTTTTATTATAAAATACTATTAAGCTATATATAATTTGGATAAATGCGATTTAATGAGAAATTTTTTCAGAAATAATTATGTTTGAAAATTAAAATATATCAATTATTCACTTTTGAAAAAATAACGCAAATAACTGGTTTCAGGAATAATTTAAGTGGACACGTCATCTTATATGACATATACACCTAAAAATACATCTAGGCGCCAAATAAAATGACGCATGTAATGCTTCTAAGTCAAACGAGATGACATATCCATTGTCCAGATTGTGAAGAGACACCATCTCATATGATGCATGAGTGTAAAAAATGCATCAAAATATATACCTAAGAGGTACCATATGAGATGGCTGGCTAGATTTCAAATAAACTTATGTGTCATCTCATATGACGCATCTATTCAAATTTTACATATTTATGTCATCTCATCAGACACATTCACTTACACTATTTTTGAAATCTGATTATTTATGTAAAATTTTTTAAAACAAAATTATTAATGTATTTTAATTTTAAAATATCGTTATTGTTAAAAAAAACCTTTGTTTAATTAATGAAAATATTATATATGGATATTTTAAAATTAAAATATTATATATATATATATATATATATATATATATATATATATATATATATATATATATATATATATATATATATATATATATATATATATATATATATATATATATATATATATATATATATTATAATGGTGAAGTTTAAAATTCAAACTCTAAATAAAGTTGAATTTAACAACATCGATTTTAGACACATATGTGGATGCTTTTTATCACACAGTTGTGTGATATATAAAATGCACAAATATCACTATGTTTCTCACATAATATAAAAAAACTTTTAAATATAATACATCAATAACAATATTTTTTGGTATATAGTTAGAAAAAATGAATCAAGAAATATAAATAATACTCACTCCGTTTTAAAATAATGTTACCTTTAAAAAAAATTGTCTTAAAATATTTATTATTTTAAATTATTAATATAATTTTATATTTAATCTTTCAATTATATTTTCAAATATATACTTTTAATTTATAATTTTTTCGATTTACATTAAACCTAATTTAAATATATTAATATTTAATCAAAATAATTTAATAAAATTATTATTCTTTCTATTTTATTTATTACAGTTTGCTAATACATATGAAATACTCTATTGTGACAAATAATAGTATTAAATATCTTGTAGTCACTCATACTAGTTTTAATGAAAACATATAAATATATGAGAAAAGCAATTTAGGTGATATTGAAGGAGACAATTTTTTCTTTACTTTAAAAAAAATTAGAGAGAAATTTCAGAGAAATATATGCAAAAGTGTTAGTTCAAATTGGTTACATTTCATTTATTTATTTTTAAAAGGTAAAATGTTAGCCATTAAAAAAAAATTACCTTTTGAGTTAGAGAAACACTCGGAATTCGAACACCAATATTTTTGGGCATACACATGTTGCACCTGGGATTTGCAAAGGAATCACGTTCAATAGAATCAATTCTCACCGATGAGAATAATGGCCCTCCTGGTGTGTCTGGTGTCATTGCTGGTGTTTCTCTGGCTGATTCTGTCATTCTTTCTGTTGTTGTTGAGTAAATTGAATAAATAAAAAATTATTTTTTGTTGTTGTTGTTGCATTAGTTGAATAAATAAAACTATTTAGTCAGAATAGTGGATATTCCAACACAACACTACATAAGTTTTCCAAAATGTAAGAAGAAATACTTCTTCTTTTTTGGTTTTTTTATGTTGTTGTTGTTGGATTTTTAAGGTGCAAAAGGGTAAATTTTACATAATTGGTTGGTTTTTATAAAATTGTTTCTAAGGAATGGAAGAAGAGAAGAGAACCAGGCTTGTAGAATTAGCTAGAAAGAGGTGCTAAGGAAATTGCATGATGTAAGTTTGGATCAAAATTGCATGATGTAATTGTTGTTAACGTTGGTATGGAATAGAACAAAATTTGTGATGAATGTTGTGATCTAATTTGGATTTTGGAGAGATTTTGATGCAATTTTGATTTTGGAGTGATTATAGCAAAAGAGAAAAGCAAAAACGTGGTTGAAGGTGGAGGAGAGAATTAATGGTTGAAAATGTGGGTTTTCAACAACTTATGATGGAGAAAAAGGGAATGGTTAATATTAACATGTTATTTTTAAGGATTATAAAAATGAGCTTGGAAAGTGCTATATATGCATCATGACTTTTGCTTTTGCTTTTGCTTGAAATGGTTAATATTAACATGTTATTTTTAAGGATTAACACATCCATTTTTCAAAAAGTATTATCTTTGCACACATTTAGTCATGCTTATATGGTTATTATTGTATTTGAATAAATAAGTTAAGCTTATCATAGAAGCCATCAAACCACACTATACAACATTGAAGGAAATTCTTTCTTCCATCATCTTTTCTTATAATCTTATTCTTCTTAGTCTTCTTTGAGACATTTTCCATTTATTTTTATTCGTCGAAACTTTAAATTGATCTTTTTCCAGTTTTCGGACCATGTTTTCTCTTGAGCTTTCTGTCAGTTAAAGTATTATCAAATTATAATCAATATTATCATGTTTTTTCTCAAGCCTTTTCTAATGTATTTCTTAGTTAATCTTTTATGTTTCATGTTTTTGATCTTTTAGCATACTTGCATGCCTATTCATCTTTGTTCTTTTAGATTAATAGATTCTTTGGTGTTTTAATTTGTTAGTTAAGATTAATAATGCAAAGCATTTGAACTTTTCTTTTCATGTTAAAGTCAATGCTGCTTGAATGTGTTTCTTAGATAATCAATCATATTTCTTAAAATTACATTACTTACACCTGTGTTTTGATGTGTTTCTTATTACCCGTTATACGTTATGTAAGTTGAATATGTTTCTAAGGTGACATGTAATATTTCATATGTCACATTCTATATTATGTTTTCATATTTGTTTATCTTTATTCTTTGAGATTAAGAATACTAAAGATATGTTGTTTTCTTACCTGTAATGTTACATTTACTAATTGAGGTCATGAATGATGTTTATACACTCATCTTAAATGACAAAGGTGTACATATTTGAAATTAAGAAACTATGTTAAAGTGTGTTGATGCCATAAGACACATCAATGATTTGAAAGAGTTCTAGAAACTTGGTGTGAGAATATAAGATCTTTGGTCCAATGTTCAAGCCATAAAGAGTAAGTATATTGAATTTTCTTTTATAGAGTGACACGATATAGGTTGTCCTGTCATATAATCTTTTCCTTATTTGGAAATTGGTCTTGAATGAAGGATTATCATATAGGATGCAAAACTTAGGATTATCATAGATTTTACTCTGAAACCATGTGATCATCCTTTTAAATTGGTATTTATTTGAGGAGAAGGGGTTCTAAAGCCAGTCTAAATGATTTCGGTTTAAAGTATATTTTGATTTAACTGATTAAACTTACGATCGAACTGTTTATTAAATATATTAATAATATAAAGTTAAATTTTATGAATAAATCACATAATCATAAGTTCACAAATTTTTAAAATATATATTTCAAAAATCTATTACAAATATAATCTTATGAGACTAATAATAAACATAATTACACATTATAATAACACGTTTAAAGAAATAAACCTATAACAGTGTTATAACTTAGAAATTGCGTTATTTTCTTGTGAAGGAAGAATATTTTAATTATTGATGCTAACATAATAATAATTTTTAATTTTTTTATTAAAAAAATTACTAAAATTGTCCAATGACAAACATTTTTTAAACCGGACGGTTTTACAAAATCGACTTCAATTCTTTAATTCGAATGATTTTGAACGATTCAACTGAATTTTTCCGATTTTATTCTAATTTTGATCCTCATACAATTTTATAAACTTAGTTGGACCAAAGTCACCTCCAATTACTCATTCAATCGATTGAATCGAAAGATTCAGTTCGATTCTTAAAATACTACTTAATAAAAATTTGATTTCAAGGCTTCGTCAATTATCCATACATAAAAATATTGATTTGATCTCCTAGTTGATAAATTTTTTCGGTACTTCCATAAATCTAACATGCATTTTAAACCTACTCTTATTAAATTGATGACTTTTTATTTAACATGTGTTCTAACATGTAGTACTAAATTGATGACTTTTTTTTCTTTCAAAAACGTCACTCTTTTATTAAATTTGACTTTTTGATTTTAACTTCTTCCATACATTATACATTAATCGGTTTGTTTTGGCTTTAAAAAAATGGATTTTTTTTGTATTTTTAGAAATAGATTTTACAAAATCATTTTTTAAAATATTATAAGTTTTTTTATATTTATTTTTTCTAAATTGAAACACTAAATTAAGTTGATTATTAATATTAGCAATAATATTAGAATGTATAGAATATTAGTTGGACCTATTTTGATGGTTAGAAGTAGTAATAGGTGGGGTGTGTAAGTTGAAGCCATTAGGAATAATAATATTATTCTTAGGTTTAGTTATAATAATAAGAAATTAGGTTAGTTAGAAAGATTAAGAAAGTCTAATGCAGTAACGTAGGAAGTGGCAGAGAAGAGGGACAAGGAAAAGAGGCAAAGCTAGGTTCGATCATAAATTTGTAGAGCGACCTTCAATCCAAGGTAAGGGTGGGGTTCTGACTCTATAATGAGAACTGTCATGAATAGTACGTAGGAAATAGGTTGGTGTAATGTTGTTGTGCGTATGATTGTTGTTTCTGTTTCTGAAATTGTATGTTATCATGTTGTTATCATGTTGTGGATGTTCCTGAATTATTTGCAGAATTAACTATCTGTTGTTGGAAATTATAATATTGCTGATATAGTTGTTATGTTGCTATGATGTTCCATGGTCTCAAATTAGTGATCGAGGAGAATACTGAATTCTAGTTTAGCGTTGGTGACAGAACAGACAAAGTCTGTGTGAGGGGTCAAAACACATTGTGTCGAGGGGAACATGCGGGTGCCGAGCGACATAATATTCAGTGTGCCAAGGGGCACAGTTGGACGTGTCGAGGGGCACACATGTAATTTGTAACTGTGGCGAGGGCCATGGTGTTTTATGTGGCGAGGGTCACTTTAGTGTTTTCTTTAGTTCTTGATCCACATATTGTTTTAGCATAATTCAGCCCTAAAATAATTATGGTCAGATTACAATTGAAGTACATGCAGATTAAGGAAAAATAAAAGGAAACTGTTTAGTTAATATTTTAGCAATAGTAACTAGTAGTCAATAGAATATAGTGTAGCGGAAATACATTATAGTAGTTAATAGTGATAAATTTTGTTGTGTTGCCTGTATTGATTGGCTAAAACCAAGTTGTAGGCTATTAACAGTAAAATAATAGCAGAGATAATTCATGGTAGTAGGAGATGATTCATAGTAGTAGGATGCAATTGCATGAACCTTATAGGAAAACTATTAACGGTATAAAAGCATAGTACATGTAGCAAGAATAAGTTGACAGTAGGAGTTAATTGTGAAATAGTGACAGAAGGCTATTAACAATAAAACAACAATAGAGAATTAATTAGTAGTACTAGCAGTAGTAGAATTTGTTGATAGCAGTACTAACTTATATAATAGTTGCAGCAGGTTAATATTAGAGGAACCGTCGCAGAACGTCTAATAGCCGAATATAGACGTATAGATGAATAATTATGTAGTCTTGTTGCAATGGGTTTCGATTGTATTTGTGAATTTTACTATGTTGTTGTAATATCAATATTGTTGACGATGCGATGTTGCAAGATATACCGATGTTGTTGAAATGCCTCTAATTCTTGGCAGATAAGTTGTAGGCTTATGGTCAAAGTTGATTATGTTGAGTTGATGTTGAATTGTTGTTGATGTTATAGACTTATGGCCAACAGTGATTTATGTTAAGTTGTTATTTGTTGTTGTTGTTTCTACATTCATGTTGTGCTGCATACATCGCATATCAAGTTGGAGCTGATGCTCGTTAAGTTGTCCTGGATTGGCAAATTATTAAGTTGAAGGCTTATGCCTTGTTGATGCCTCTATTTATTGACAGATTATTAAGTTGAGAGTTTTTCTCCTTTGGTACCACATGCATGTGCATAAAAATCAAGTTGCATTTCATGTTGCATCCTGAGTTGTTGTATGAAAGAATTAGTTGTGTTGAATATTGTTAAAAAGCTATAAAGTGGTGATTGTTATATGATATGGTTCTAATATATTATTCATCATACATTCTATTATATTGTATGATATTTCACCCATTTTGTTTAAATGTCACCTCTATGTTGGTAATGTGGAAGTAATCCAGAATGAAGGTTGTTTATCTTCAGTAGTTCGAGTCGGTGTCGTCGCTCTGACACATAACACTCGGGGGGGATGAAAGTTTGTTGCTTTATTGTTTATTTTACTTTCGTTGCAGAACTTTAAGTTGTTTTCGTTAAGTACTTTGTTGTTTCTAAAGTTGTTTTCAGTTGGACAAAGATGTTATGTCATTTGAGTTGAAAGTTGTGATTCCGCTGCTTAAATAATAAAGTTGTTTCATTTTAAAGACTAAAATTATTGTTATATGTTCATCCTATGATTTAAGTGTTATGTATAT